CTTCGGAAAAGGCGTTGCGAGCACCGATCGGCATCGGGAAGCGGTTACGAGTTTAATAGGAAATGGCTGTTTAATTAGGAAAAAGCGCTGCATGACAACGAGCGGGGAGTTCCCGCCTCTCGGCGCCGCACCGCTGGCTCCGGCACAGCTGGGAAATGCCCGAACTGCTGGAAAATAACTTTCCCTCCTGGTTTTCACAGAGAAATGAGAACTCTCCACCAGTGTGCGGCTCTCCCGGGGCTGGACAGCTGGTTTCACTTAGATTTGTGTGTGATCAGCCTTCCCGGCATCTTCCTGCTATTTTATCACATGTCAGCGAGTTAGTTTTACCGTATAAGGACTGCGGGCTGCTTCTGGGAGAGGTGGAGCCAGACGTAACTCCAGCTTCCCAGTGGCCCCGTCTCCATAGCTCTGGAATCTTGCTTAATTAAAATATGACTTAAAAGTGTCCTGTCTAGTGGAAGGAGTTGCAGACTGCCGCATAACAGATGCCAGTTTTCTACATGATCGATGCCTTGTGTGTAAATCGAGAAAGTTAAACACATAGCACTGGGTAGAAAACAAATGAAATGCTGGATAATTTATGACTAGAGGAATCCTGGGTCAGCTTCCATTTGGATCAGTCACTGAAATCTGTTCCAAGATGGTACAGCTATGAATGGAAACCACTTCCTCCAGCTTAGGAGGAACGGTCGGTAACCAAATTTGAGAAGCTGCAGCAAAACAAATTTTTTTTTTTTTCAAAGTGTTTAACACAAAGCATAAAACAACTGCCCTTCCAGGACCTACAGCCCATAAAAGTGGTTTTTTCTTAAAAAAAAAAAAGAAGTTAATCTTGTACATAGCAATCATGCTCAGATTTGGGGACAATTAAGTGCGGAAACCTGGCAGTTATTAAAGTAGGGGTTTATTTTCCTTCAAATAACAAGCAATTAAAGGAGCCGTCTCTTAATAAACACAATGCGTTTACGGACACCAATTTGTTCACATTGTCTGTATGCCAGCATTTCTCCCAACAACCTCTCCATTTATTATCAAGTCTGTTTTTTAAACATTAATAGTGTTTCCAATTACTGTGCAGTTTATTCAATAATATACAAACAGACCTTATTCCTAAGAAATGCTTTCTGCCTAATTCCTTAAGTACGGCAGGAAGCAATGAAAAAGGAAAGTGAACTTCTTTTGAGAACATCTCTAATTTTGCCCTGTTTATGTTACAAAGAAGACTGACTCTCCCGTGCTGTGGCCAACTGTATCTGCCCAGCTGACCACGCAAAGATTATATAGCATTTGCAGGCTCCTTTGAGCCCCTAACGGGTAATGAAACGGCTTTAACTTCAGCACTGTGCTATGACAGGATATTGCTGCAATCCGTGATGAAACCGAGAACGTAAAAATCAACTGTGAAGTTTCTGGAACCAGCCGTTATGGAAACAGTTCGGTTTTTAACTTTTGAATCCTATGGGTAGATCCTGCCCTGTGAAGTGATCTGAAAATGGTTTTCTGCTGGCCATCGGTGTCTAATCCGTCGTTGTATGGCAGGAATGATAAGTGCCATTAAAAAAGAAAGGAGAAGCACATACTCCATACCTCGAAATTCCTGAGATGCCATAGTTTAAACAAACAAAAAGCCGAGACAGCAAGGCTCCTAGAGCTTCCCTGCACATACCAAGGAGAAGCCTTTGCAGTTTTAAGGAAAACTGATTAGTTGAGAACATTTGTCAGCCAGCAACTGGCTTGTACGTAACCTCAACTGTGGGTGGTTGTATTTCACACAGGCTGAGGGTGAGGTGGCGGCTCTGAACAGACGTATCCAGCTAGTGGAAGAGGAGTTGGATCGTGCCCAAGAACGGCTGGCCACAGCCTTGCAGAAACTGGAGGAGGCCGAGAAAGCAGCGGATGAGAGTGAGAGGTATGCATCTGCTTTTTTTTCTTTCTTTTTTGGTAAAAAAATGCATATATATGAATAAAATATTCCCGTGTAAGTTAGTATCTGCATGTGCTAATGTGCATTGCGGGTCAGAGACTCAGAACTTTTCTGTAAGCTTGAAGGACTAATTCTGTTAGCCTTGAAGAACGTGATAGTATGGTCATAATGGGGTGCTTTTTGGTTACACTGAATTCCACTTTAGGGCCTTTGAGATAAAAGTGCTAAAATGCTTCTACATTAAACACACTTGCTTTGACTTCTGCAGAGGAATGAAGGTTATTGAGAACAGAGCAATGAAAGACGAAGAGAAAATGGAAATTCAGGAAATGCAGCTGAAGGAGGCTAAGCATATCGCTGAAGAAGCCGACCGCAAATACGAAGAGGTAACAGGGATCAGGAAATGATTAAACGTACGGGGGAACTGTGAACAGCTTTGTACTCTTCACTTTAGTCATTCTTTGTACGCTCTTCACCGTGTGACGGTTCGACTTGGGACTGTTCCCAAAAAGGAGTGATTTTAATAGCGACTGTAGCAGCACCGTACATATTTAATGCTAAGCACACTGCAAAATCTGATTTATTTGGAGAAGTCTGTCATGTCTGTGCATGTACGTTTTAACCCAATTGCATCGTTCAGAAGGCAAGCACCAGCGCAGCGCTTTGAGGGAAATGTGTAAGAAGTTACAGACTGGCTTGATACAGCTGTTTTCTCTTTACAGGTTGCCCGAAAACTGGTAATTTTGGAGGGTGAACTGGAAAGAGCTGAAGAGCGTGCAGAGGTGTCTGAAGTGTGAGTGGCTTCGGATACACGGAAGCAGTTTAGAGTAGAGTAAAGCTCAAAGCTGTATTTCGTTAGAAAAATCTCCTGCTGGTCGGCACGCACGTAGTATGTGTAGAAAAGCTTTTTTGTACCCCATATACCCAATTTTCTCCTTGCAGACTTAATTACTTCATCCCTTGTATTTTTAGACTTCTTGAAAATTAAATTAAGTCATAACAGGCACAGTAGTAATTTATACTTTTTCCCCCCCCTATAGTAAATGCAGTGACCTTGAAGAGGAGTTAAAGAATGTCACTAACAACCTGAAGTCTTTGGAAGCTCAGTCTGAAAAGGTTGGTTCCTTCTGTAAACTTAAGGGATAGGGGCAAAGGCCAAACCGGTAATCAAAATCCATAGAAATAATACAGAAGTACAAAGAAAGTGAAAGGGTTTAGCTGACCGCCGGCTTAACAGAGACTGTTGATGACGCTGCATCAGTTCTGCCCGAACCCAAGTCAGTGAGCCGATCGTTATCAAGCCAGGACCGAAATCTCCGTTTCCCACACCGGTGTGCTGCTGGCTGCTCTTCATTTTCCCATCTTGCTCTTTTTGCGGTTCTTGCCCTCGGCAATGAAAAGCGTTAAAACTCTCCATTTCATTAAACGGTCATTTCTGGCTAGTCTGAGTCGGGCTGGCGGGTTCCTGTTCTCTTGCACGTTCAGCCATTTTTGTGCTGCACGAGAAAGTAAACCCGCTAAGGTCTAAGGTGACGCACGAAGGAACTTGGACATCCCCAGTCTTAAAATGATGGTTTATGAGCCCGAGTTTGAGATGTCTTGGTGAAGAGGAGGAAAGTACGGAGAGGGCGTTTGCAGCTGTCGTAAAAGGAAAAGTGGTTGTAAGTAGGTCACGGCTTCGTAAACATTTAGTATTGCTGCTACCGCTTCCCTCAAAGAGTGTTTATTGTTTCCACAGTACTCGGAAAAGGAAGATAAATACGAAGAAGAAATCAAGATTCTCTCTGACAAGCTTAAAGAAGTAAGTTCATCCGTTCCCAAACTGTATTTTGGCATCATGTTTTTAACAGCATCCAATTACTCTATTGTATTTTTTTTTAGGCTGAAACCCGTGCTGAATTTGCGGAGAGAACAGTCGCCAAACTGGAAAAGTCTATTGATGACCTGGAAGGTACGGAATTACTGGAGTTTCATTTAAAAGCGTTCCGTTCCAATTTCAAGTCAGAAAACAAAATTCTAGGAGCGGGTGTTAGGTTTTATTGGGAAAGGACCGAAGCGCTCGTCAGGCGTACTGGCAGATCGGCGTGATGTGTCCACTGGACACGTCTGTCCCGCGTGGTACCTCCTGGCCAGAGGAAGTTTCCCTGAAAGAGATTCTCTTTCCAAAAGGTGGTAGCGATAACCCGATTTGGGGCAGCTCACAGGCTCTTTCTGTTAATGACGAGATCACAACCCTACTTAATCTGGTTATTGAAAATTTTGAGAGATTAGAAAAAAGGAAACGCCGGTGAAGCTTCTGGCCCGGCAGCTGTGTGGACGTTTTGCTTTCGTACCGATACTCAGTCACGCATCTGTTTCTCTCCTTTTGTTTTCCTCAACTGCTTTGGCTGCTGCCTTCTGACTGTCTTCCCGTCTCCTACCGCGCGCCTCTTCCTCCGGACTGTTTTTCTGCATTTCTTGCTGAACCTTCTGCCCTCGTGACCGATAGACGAGCTGTACGCCCAGAAGCTGAAGTACAAAGCGATCAGCGAGGAGCTTGACCATGCTCTCAATGACATGACCTCTTTGTGATCTGCACCTCGGGGGGGGGCACGGGGGCCGCTCCCACTCCCTGCACTTCCTAAGCTTTTTCTTGCCTGCCATACCTGTCACTCTGCCCAACTTCCGCAAGCCATCCTTCCGTCTCCTCTGTAAGACCTGAGCTCAATAAAAACAAGATACCTCTGCCTTTCAGCTTTTGGGGGTTTATTTCCTTCTAATTCACCTAAAAGACCCTAGTAACGACACCGAAAATAGGTTCGGCTCCTCAGGCCGGGGACAGGCAGACGCAGCCAGCTGGTGCCCCCGTCAGCTGGGGCGGGTGGACGCCTGAGTTTTAGCGTTGAGTCAAAGAAAGCTTTGAGTGCGTTCGGTGCGTGCTCGCGGTGCGCCGCCTGCCCGGGTAGAAACTCTCAGGACAGTGGAAGCGCTGAAGGACGTGTCCCGTAGATCACGTGTTACATCAAAGTACAAGTCTGTCGCGTTACACGTAAAACACGTCCAAAAACCTGACTAAATGAGAGCAGTTACCCAAAAAATTGGCCCCGTTTTGTGGATGCGGTGATAGTGGTGTCTCAACCCTGAAGGTAAGTAGTCACATTCGTCACTTGAAGAGGAAAGGCTGTCAAATGACGTGTTTTAAGTCCTGTTTTTTCCTTCTTTCCCCCTAGAAAAACTTGCTCAAGCAAAAGAAGAGAACGTGGGGTTGCACCAGACACTGGACCAGACACTAAACGAACTGAACTGTATATGAGGTGGCGAAGAGCGCTCTCCGCGGCCGGCAGGAGCCGAAACCCGCATCTGCATGTACCGTCCCGCCCCTCTCCCTCCCTCCCTGTCTATCCCGGGGAAAACCATCCCGTTACGAGCAGCACAGACGTACGTGAGGCTGTGGGCGTAGCGTGGAGGCGGCCTCGTACCTCCGACGCCAGCTCCTCTCGGAGGCAGCGGCCGCCGGCGCTCCCG